CCCGGGGGGGGGGGGGGGGGGGGGAGAGAGGGCGACACAGCAGAGTCTCGTTTGTTGTCGGGAGGTCGGGTAGGTTAGAGAAGCCGTATCGGACTGCAAATAAGTACTACAGTTGTACCGGCTTTTGTACACTTGGGGAACAAACACAAAACCTCTCTGAGGATTGGTTACTCTCGGGTGTCGCACCCCTTCTTTTGGTTGCGGAGCAATCGATCTTCAAAAAAATATTAAAAAAATCACACAGTCCTGTTTGACCCCGCAATGTCACGGTACAATGGGGGCACTTTTCGCACAACACTCTTAGCAGCAAAACACGACACACTCTTTTCCTTGTTTGTGCTATCTAGATCGCCTGCTGGGCGTCAGTCTTATGCACAACCACCCACCTGTGGGGGAAGAGATCAACCTCCAAGTCTTCCAAGACCTCGGGCAGCCTGAGCAGCATCCTGGCCAGCGCTGCCTCTTCCGGTGTACCCATGCTGATCTCCGTGCCGGAGAGGTCTCCGAGTCCCTCTGTCGCCTTCTTCTTGATGCCTTTCAACGGGGGGAGGGGGGGCGTTCAGCTTCGTGTGCGTGGTATGTCGCTTTTTTTTGCATAATTTCTTACAACAACACAAAAAAAAAAAAACATCTCTCCCACAGATAAAGAGTCCATGACACACTAGCAATGACCATCTTGTATTTCTACGGTTCCCCCGGCAGCATTTAGCGATGTCTCCCCTGTGGGCACGAGGCTCAATAGATTTTCGACACGCTTCGGCGCGGGAGGGAGACGGGGGCCTGTCGGCCTCTCCAGGTTCAAGACAAGACGGGCTCCAGGTGAACACGTCAACACCAAGAGGTGAAGCAGTTTAGCGCAATAATTCCGCCAAGTACAGCACGCACACACTAAATAGCGTTGTCCGTTCTTAGCGGCACAGAGGCTGGCGCCGCCATTCCATTGGTGAGCAGCCGGTTAGTGCCCCCCGGCTTATTTGCGCTCCATACCGTTTTTCGCCGGCACCAGATCAAGTTGGATGTACCCTATGTCCTTCTACAGCGTCGCACACGCACTTTACGTTGTACATCCCCAACGCCTGCTCGCGTATTCCGTTGCCCCCCCTTCATCTCCATGAAATCGCTGCAGCGAACGTCAACCACGTACATATCAGAATTTATTTCCGACCAAAACGACCATGGCTACTACGATGCTAGGGCAATGAATGTGCCTGTTCGTGCTGTCAAAGGAGACACGCGATTCCTCGTTGATTAAGTAGAACTTCCGGAAATACTTATAAAATTGTTAAACAACTTTGGTAATTTTCTTATTTGACTTCGGGGGGGGGGGGCACATGGGTGAACATGACCCCAAAGTAGAGAAAAAGAGAGAGAGAGAGAGAGAGAGAGAGAGAGAGAGAGAGAACATAAAAAAAAAACAGTCGGCATACATACACATAGACACACACACACACACCTTGCACGCGGGCGAAGGCGTAGAGCATGTACGGAGCGGTGTTCCCCTGCAGCGAGAGCATCTTGGCGTAGCTGAATCGGTAGTTCGATTCCCGGTTCATGGAGAGGTCCGCGTACTTCACCGCCCCGATCCCAACCACCTTAGACACGCGCTCCAGCTCCACCTCATCCGCCTGGTGGGGCGGGCGGCAGAGCGCGGGATATAGGCTAGGGTTCCGAGCAGAGCACATCGCGAGGCCGTTCCACGACACGCGCGCCCTTCGTGCACCAGAAAGAAAACGCCCACAGGCTAAGGTACGTGCTGCTGCTGCTGCTGCTGCTGGCTGGCGCAAAAAGTTCGCAACCCTTGACGCTCCCACGATACAACACGCCCTTTTGCCAACAACAACTCATGCATCGTGCGCAGCAGAAAAAAAATATGCCCATAGGCTAAGGTCGGTACCTCCCGCCGCCAGATGGAAAAATAAACAAAAAATCCGATGATGCGCTCCACACAAACTCGCCTGGTAACCCTCCCCCCCCTCCTCCTCCCGCCTCTTCCGGATGCTCTCTCCCGCGATCCGGACGGCCTCCATCAAAAGGTCGCTAAGCTTAACGGTTTCGCCGGCCCTCGTCTTGAACTTCTTGCCGTCCTCGCCTGTGTGAACAGGAAGATAACGGGGGGGGGGAGGGGGGGTGTACGCACGCTTTGCTTGCCTTAGTTGCTAGACCAGGGGGGCTGTGGAAAAAGGGCTGCGGAGGAAACAAGCAAAAAATGATACCGGTTCACAGACCTGCTGTAAAAGCGGCCACGGAGCTAGGCCGCTTGCTTGGTCACCACATCGTACCCTGGGTACGTAGGTATCGTCATTGCTATTAGCCTGAAATGTGTTCGAAAAGAAAAAGGAATGAAATGACAAAAACTGGTGTGGGGGGGGGCGGGGGGGGGGGGGGGGGCCCTTTCCTTTTTGACCCCCTTACGGGTAAAAACAA